AACCGACAAGTTGAAGAATTGAGACACTCATGCAACACATGGGAGTCTTTATTGAAGAAACGTTTCGCCACACAGTGGCTTCATCAGTCCAATACAAAGTTGAAATGGGTAGGGAGAGGAGAAGTTTGAGGTAATCAGTCCCTCAACCTGGAATCGATGTGTTCAGTCCATCACAAGAGTGATGTGATGTGTTCAGTCCATCACAAGAGTGATGGACTGAACACATCAATTCCAGGTTGAGGGACTGATTACCTCAAACTTCTCCTCTCCCTACCCATTTCAACTTTGTATTGGACTGATGAAGCCACTGTGTGGCGACACGTTTCTTCAATAAAGACTCCCATGTGTTGCATAAGAAAATGACATCTCATAATTGAATACAAAGGACTAATAGAAGAGAGGAATCAAATTGTTTAATGGCTTGTAAAGCACTGAGGGAATCTGAAATAATCACAAATGTTGAAAAAGACACATATGTAATATGAAGAAGCACTACGAGGATGGCATACAACTCAGCAGTAAAAATCCTAGCCGAGTCTAACAAATGACCTCGGACAACATCGTCAGGGAACACTGCTGCAAACTCAACACCGTCAGAAGATTTAGAACCACCTGTATAAACAGCGACGGCATGAGCACATGACCAGAAGTGATCGAGAAAAAGAGAGCGAGAAGCAGTCGTAGACAGGAGAGCTTTGGCACATGGTAGTAGGGGAGAACAGACACGAACCATCAGAATTTCCCAAGGGGGAAGGGAAAAGGCAGATGCTTAATGAACATACAAGGGAGACAACTGGAGAGAAGACCGGAGTGAAGACAAAGAGAAAACAGTCAGAGTAGGCAGGGGTGCCGAACAAACAATGGGCTTCTACTAACGTCTAAAACCAACCTATACATAGAAGAAACACGAAGGTCATGAGCACAGACAAAGTAACAAAGACAATGAGAATCACGATGATCAGCTAAGGAACATTCTCCTCTGCATAGAGGCTTTCAAAAGGGAAGGAATGAAAGGCACCAAGGCATAAATGCAGACCCTGATGATGAAGGGGATCTAACTTAGAGTTGTAGGAGAAGCCACAGAATAGACTTGGTTGCTATAATCCAGCTTGGACAAGACTAGGGTGGAATGCAAATGGAAGTTTAAGGAGATTCAGCAGACCATGGTAAGCTGCCTTCAAAGAGGAAATGTGAGATTTCCATGTCAACTGGCGATCAAAGAGAAGGCCAAGAAACTTGACCGTATCACATTCTGGAATATGTGAGCCATGTAAATACAACAGAATATCTGGGATAAGAGGACATCTAGTGAAGGTAATGAAATAGGTTTTCCTACTAGAAAATTTAAAGCCATGAGAAGTGGCCCAATGAGAAACTTGGTCAATCACATCCTGTAGGGAGGCTGCTACCAGGCAAAAGTCAGCGCCTGAGTAAGCTATAGCGAAGTCATCCACATGAAGTGACGACCAAATATGTGATGGAAGAATGGAAGGTAGGTCATTTATACCTAATAGAAAAAGAAAAGTCTGAAGAAAGCAAGGCACCAACATGGACACAAAAATGTCTGTCAGATAAGAAAGCAGCAAGGAAGGTTGGTAGATTACTGTGGAGGCCTAAGGAGTGGGCTTGGGGTAAAATGTTATGCCTCCAAGTGGTGTCATATGCCTTCTCAAGATCAAAAAAGACTGCTAGGACAGAGTGTTTGTTAGCAAAGGCATTTTGCACATATGTATCTAAGTGGAGCAAGGAGTCCAAAGTAGAGCGGCCCTTGTGAAAGCCATATTGGTGAGGAGAAAGACTATTGTGAGTCTCTGAATACCATATCAAATGTCTATTCACCAAGCATTCCATCACCTTACAGACTACACAATAGTGAAACGTATCAAGCCACGAGGTGCCTGGTTTGCGAAACAGTAGGACAAAGGCAGATTTTCATTGTTGAGCGAGAACCCCTCGCATCCAAATAAGGCTGAAAAGACATAAAAGGACTATAAGGGCCGTCGAATGCAGATGTTATAGCATACTGATATATCATCAGGCCCAGCTGCCGATGACTGGCAAGTGGAAAGCAGGGACTCTAGCTCTAGGAGAGTGAAAGGTACATTATACGGCTCCGTTCCATTAGAAGAGAAATCCAAGGGCTATTGCTCCTTGGTAGATTTATACGTGAGAAGTGAGGGACAGAGGTGAAACTCTTGAGAGGCACGAACAAGATAATTCCCGATTTCTGTGGCAACTTCAAGAGGTTCCACAACACTAACACCAGCAACCTGCAGAACAGGAGCTGGGTCCGGAGCATACTTGCCACACAACTTTCATACCTTCTTCCAAACTGCGCCAACAAGTGTGTTTAGTGACTGCAAGTGACTGCTCTTGCCTGCTTAAAATCTAAGAGATGATCTGAGTTTCAATTATACCCATAATGGCCCCACACAGTGTGCTTCAAATGCACAGCATGGGCACACACAGGAGACCACCAAGGTATGCATGTCTGAGAATGCCTGCCTGAAGTTTGAGGAATAGAATATGATTCTGCAGTGAAAACTAAGGTCGAAAACTGGTACACCAGTTCTTCAACAGAGGATGAAGAAGGGTCCTCACATAAAACAGTAAGATGAGAATATAAGTCCCAATTTGCTCGTCCAAGTTGCCAACGAGGGCTATGAGGCAGTCGGGAATATATAGTAGAAGTAAGAAGAATGGGGAAGTGATCACTGTCGTGCAAATCTGGGAGAACGGACCAAGTGTAATTAAGAGCGATTGGCGAGAAGCAGATAAAAAGATCAATGCAAGAGAGAGACTGAGTGCGAGTCAAAATGGGTGGGAGCACCCGTATTTAAAATGTGAAAAGGATGAGAAGTGAGAAGAGTCTCCAACTGATCACCACGCGAGTCACAATGAAACCTTCCTCAAAGATGATGGTGAGCATTAAAAATCACCTAATAACAAGATGGGCGGTGGTAGAGAAGAAATCAAGAAAGCAATTTCCGAGATACAGAATGCGTGGGAAGGAGAGAGATATAGAGCAAACTGTATACTATCTGTGCAAATAAATACAGGCTGCAGTATAATGCAGCAGAAAATGAACAAAGACCTGTTGATACGGTATACCAACGCGTACAAGAAGCACGCTCTCATTAAATGATTTATCAGAAAAGGGATCAGAAGAATGCAACAGAACATAGCCTGAAACAGGACGAATAACAGCTGAATGAATTTTGGGCTCTTGTAACTCAAGACATACTGGGGAAAACTGGGAGAGCAACACCTAGAGCTCTCCCTGATTACCACGAATATTCCATTGTAAATAAGTCATTATGTACAAAGACAGGTATTCCTACAATAAGAAGCGATAAAATCTATGGGCTATTAGGGTCAGTGAAGTCAATGTATGGAGGTAATGGTAAATGTGTAAGCAAGGAGGAATCAGAATGCTGTGAAGGAAAAGATTGCTGCAAGGGTTGTGAAAAATAAGAAGGGGCAGGAAGCGCGTTAGTGTCCATCGAGGGCTTCATATCCGCAATATAGTTGGAGACAGTGTCAAGTGTCTCAGCGGATAAGGAAGATGCCAATACCACGATTTCAGAGACAGGTGAGGTAGAGCAGGTAGAGATTGGGGAAACTATGGAGGGAACCAAAGAGGTCTGAGAGGGGAGGGGAGGGGAGTATGAACCTAGAGAGATGCACTGGCGGGGGCAGAAGAGTCCTGCCATAGAACAGGAAAGGAAGGAGGTTGGAAGGTAACTGGGGAAGAAGACTGGGGGGAACAGGAGTAGAGGGGACTATGCAAGGGGGGGGATGAACCTCCACCTCCATGTGAGAGTCAGAAAAGGGGTTAGAAAGAAGCACAGAGGCTGCAAAGGAAACCTGTTGAGGAATTGTAAGTACAATGGACCCTCGTTTTTCATAATTAATCCGTTCCAGAGAATGTGACTAATATCAAAACTGACGATTTACAAAACTATTTATCCCATGAGAAATAATGTAAATCCAATTAATCTGTTCCAGACACCCAAAAGTATTAAAACAAAATAATTTTTTTACATGAAATATATCTATATTTCATGTACATACACAGAAAACAATGAGACATGAAGAATGAAACAATAATAGCATGACACTTACCTTTATTGATGATTCTTCTTAGTGTATGGAAGACGGGATGAGGGAAGAGGATGGATTAACCCTTTCAGGGTCGAGAGGCCCTCTCCTAAACTCGTTCTCAGGGTCGAAAATTTTTCGGAAAAAAAAAAAAAATTCTTATGAAATGATAGAGAATCTTTTCCCGATCATAATGACACCAAGGTATGAAATTTGATGGAAAACTTACGGAATTATGCTCTCGCGAAGTTAGCAGTCTCAAAGATGTTTACGCATAGGCGATTTCGCCCACTTTGAGCCCTATTTTTGGCCAATTCCTGTGTACTAGTCGACAAAAATCATAACTATCTCGCTAGAACTCCATTTTTTCTATCGAATGAGTACAAGAAACCACCCATTTACCAATTTCAACTATCCAATAAAGTGGTTAGAAATTGCCAATTTTGCCAATTTCACACAAATTTCAGAAGATGCCAATTTCCAAATAGGGTCCAGAATAAACAAGACAGACATTCCTGGCACTAATATAACAAGTTCTCTGTTCATTAGTCATGTCTCCAGGGCCTTCTTACATTTCTTTTGCTTTCCACTTTGAATTTTTATTCTCACAAAAAATAAAGGATTTACTGTTATGCAGACTACTGCATTAGTGTAGAAATTGTATAAATAATATCAGCGCACTTGTGAAAGAATATTAGACTCACCAGTTGATGTGTATTGGACACTCAGCATGATTTGTTTACTTTTGAACTTTGGTAAAAATCAAACATTTCTGCTATTTTGAGCTCAATTTCAAGGTACTTTTTATTGGGAAACCAATCAAAATCATCTCAATTTCTGTAACATGTCTTCCATTCTATAAAATGAGACCAGGAAAACTAGAATACAACCATAAATACCATACAAAAATACAGTGCAAAGTCGCTGTTTTAATACAAAAACACGGTCAAAGTTTTTTTTTTTCTCATTACACACTGTGTGCTGCAGGATTTTTTTATACTGCACACACTGACCACATAGACCCATTTGTTCATATGTAGGCCTGCCAGCTTTCTTTTGCTAGATTTGAAGGCGCTACAATTTAGGCGTTCTAGTACGTCAATAACCCTGGTGCGTAAGCCGTACTAGTACATCGGAAACCCTGAAAGGGTTAAATAATGTTTGGATGAGGAATCCCCTTCCATAAAGACTTCAGGTACTAAATGCTTTTTCGGGGTTACTGCCCTTTGTTTTTTAAAGCCACTAGGACTAGCTTGAGAGTCACTGCACACCTGTGGGGCTAAATATCTCTCCGGAGGGCTCTGTTTCTGGCATCTCTTTAAAATTTCCCTAAAATGGGACAAGACACTGTTATTGTACATGTTGCTGACACGGCTTGTAAGAGCTTTGTCAGGGTGATGTTCCTCCACAAATCTTTCCATCCTACTCCACATTGCACAAATCTCCTTAATCTCTGAAGGCGGCACCTTCTTCCATGTCTCTCCCTCCTCCTCTGAAGCAATTTCCTGAGCTGTTGTCTGCTGCTGTTCCAGATGAAGCTCTTGCAGCTCTTCAGTGGTTAGCCCTTTGTTGTGGTCCTCCACCAACTCTTCCACATCTTCGCTACTCACATCCAACCCCATGGAATTCTCCAATGCCACAATAGATTCCACAACTGGCATAGGGTCCTCAGGGTTAGCCCCAAACCTTTCAAAATCCCTCTTTTGGACGCAATCTGGCCACAATTTTCTCCAAGCGGAGTTCAAAGTCCTGGAAGTCATTCCTTCCCAAGCCTTACCTATAAGGTTTATACAATGGAGGATAGTGTAGTGATCTTTCCAAAACTCTCTTAGGGTCAATTGAGTGTCTGAGGTCACATCAAAGCACCTTTGAAACATTGCTTTGGTGTAGAGTTTTTTGAAGCTTGAAATGATCTGCTGGTCCATGGGCTGGATGAGAGGAGTGGTATTAGGGGGCAAGAACTTCACTGTGATGAAATGAAACTCCTCTACAATTTGGTCATCCAAGTCTGGAGGATGAGCAGGTGCACTGTCCATTACCAGGAGGCACTTAGAGTTCCAATTTATTTTCCAGGAGGTATTTCTTCACACTGGGGCCAAACACCACTCTGGGAATTTCAGAGAGATACACTATTAAAGGCTTCACTTTGAAATCCCCACTAGCATTTCTACAGAACAAAAGAGTAAGCCTGTCTTTCATAGGCATGTGTCCTGGTAGTGCCTTTTCCTCCTGTGTGATATAAGTCCTCCTTGGCATTTTCTTCCAAAAGTGGCCTGTTTCGTCATAATTGAACACTTGTTGGGATTTGAATTCTTCAGCTTCTATGCATCTCTTGAATTTACACACATATTTTTCAGCTGCATATTTGTCAGAACTGGTAGCCTCACCATGCCTTACCACAGTGTGTATGCCACTATGATTCTTAAATCTCTCAAACCAGCCTTTGCTGGCCTTAAATTCACTAACATCAGCACACGTTGCAGGCATTTTCTTTATGAGATTGGCATGCAACTGCCTTGCCTTTTTACAAATTATCGACTGCATAACACTCTCCTGCTAACTGTTTCTTGTTGATCCACACCAACAATAACTTCTCAACATCTTCGAGTACTTGCGTTCTCATTTTTGTGAGCATATTTACCCCTGTTGCAACAACAGCTTCCATGATTTCCTTTTTCTTGGCTACGATGGAAGTGATGGTTGTATGGGGTTTCCCATACAACCACTCAGGGCCGTGCGTGCACGTCTGGGGTGAACGACTATTTGAGAGTCAAACGATGATTCGCGAGTCACTGTTTTGACGAAAAAAGTTACAATTTTCGAAAATTACGACTTCTGATGCTTACGAAAAACGAGGGTCCACTGTACTGGAGGAATGCGAAGAGACTTGGGGTCATGAGAGAGGTTCAGGTTTGCAGGTGATAGGCACAAAGAAGATTCAGGCATGCGAGGTCTTGCATACTGAGAAACAAGCGGGCAAGAAGAAGTAGAGGTAGAAGTAGGTAAGGTGTTGATTCCAGAGGGAAAAAATACAAAAGAATTAGAGACGGGTGACCCCGGAAGACACAACACCGGAGCTGGTAGGCGGGGGGACTGCCAAAGTTGGAGGTCTAGCTACTCCCGAATAAGGGATACAAGAATGATTCCCCTGCAAGTGGAGTCGAGAGACAGCCATAGCATAAGTAAGGCCATCGCTCTCCCTAAGACAATGGATTTCTCATTCATTACGTTAGACCTGACAACAGCGGGAAAAAGAAGGACAATGTTCATTGCAATTGAGACAAGCGAGGGGAAGACTGCAAGATGTATCGGTATGATCTGCGGCACCACAGACTGGGCACTCTGCCGCAGATCTGCAGTATTTAGTGGAGTGTCCAAAGCGCCAGCAATTTCGACGCTGTTGAGGAAATGGGACCACTTTACAGAACTCTAAGCGATGGCCCATGATATAAACGGAGGGAGTTCACGGCAGTCAAAGGTTGAGCAGGCAATGTTACTGGGAAAGCGCCTTTGCCCACGAGCGGGTAGGGCATATGTACCCACTTTGAGAATAGGAAGGTCCTGAAGGGCTAATTGTTCTAAAATATCATCACCGCAAGACAGAAAATCACTCTGTACAATGGTAGGTGGTAAAACCATCGTACCACTGCAAGAAATGAGAGTAGCATGCTTGTGAATTGTGACTGGAATGTTATCTATGGAAGTAATATGGGAAAGACCATGAGCTTGTTCTGCATTCTGAATTGTAATGATGCGTGCACCGCTTCAAAGAGCATGAAAGGATATTTTTGGCCAACATGCTGTAAAAGAGCCTTACCAATACTATGGTCAGATGTCTGTTGTAAGGATGTCAGATGTCGGTTGTAAGGAAAAGAATTTAGTGCAATGCGTACTTATAAATATGGTGCGTAAAGGAAGTGAGTGTCATGTAGGTCATATTTGGGTAGAATGAGTAGACATTGAAGAACTACTGTCAGTAAATGGTCTGGAATGTTTAGGCATAGTACCGCGGGTGGCCTGACCCGAGGTGAGTGGGCGATCCGAAAACCATCGCACAATATTTGGGGAAGACGGATGAATAGTTAGACGCATCCAAGAGGCAGAGGCACTAACAGAAATGGGCGGAGCCCCAGCACCTGGAGCAGAAAGTACAGGGGTATGTGAAGAGTCTAGAGAATGGCCCAATAACAAACCCGGGTCAGAACAGGATATGGTAACAAGAAGGGACCTGGGAGGAGGAGGGTTATCATGGAAGAAAGACTCCATGATGGTAGGACTTCTTTCTTATTATTATTTTAAGAGAGAGAGAAAAAAAAAAGGGAAAGTGGAGGAACAGTCACTAGAAGGCATGAAAGGGCCATAAGTTCCTCCTCTCATCTGAGAGGACTTCAAGACCACAAGCAATGCAGATGCAGCGTGGAACCCATGCCATACTCTACCCATCACGCCAGTAAACCAGCGCTCCGGGATAGCAACCTCAGATCTACCAAGCCACCTCGGAAACCCGCCACAAAGCATACCTCCTTCTGCTGCCACCTCCCAGAACTGACAGGCAGCCTCTGGAGATACACTCATCACCTGCAGGACACCCCGCCCACTTCTCAGAAATCTGGGAAGGGAGCAGGGCACCTCCAGATAATCCAGATTCCACAGCAAACTACACCGCACCCTAGGAACCTCAAACAGTGAGATGAACCTCGGCACACTTCTCCCTACCTAGAAACCATAATGCCAGAGGAGAGGATCCCAGAGGCTACAAACAGGATGGGAAAAAGGGGAGGGTTGGGAGGTGGGAGGAATGGGGGGGAAAAGGGGGGATGGGGTGGATGGCATAGGGAAGGGAGGATTGGGGGTAATTAGGTTCGGTCTGAGGAAGAAGACTGAAAGGTCCAATTCCTCAGACCAGAAGCCTCTTCATCACTACAAGGAGGCTCCTTTGAAGAGGACAGGAAACATAGAGGAAACTAGAAGCTATAAAGGTTTAAAAGATATATAACTGACCTAAAAGTGAGTAATAAATAGAAATAGATATGTACATATTATCATGAGCATAGTGTTTATTAAATTTTTGCCACAGAGGATTAATTGTGTCATAGTATAATTTTTTCAAAACAAAGAATTCTATTAGCCCTTTCAGAGTTGAAACCCCTGACCTCAAACTTGATCTCAGGGTCAAAGAATTTGTAAAAAAAAAAAAAAAAAAATTATGAAATGTTAGAGAATGTTTTTCCAAAGGAAATGAAACCAAAAGTACAAAATTTGATGAAAAGCTTATGGAATTAAGCTCTTGCAAACTTAGAGGTCTTGGTGATATTTACACAACAGCGATTTTGCCCACCTTGAGCCCTATTTTCGGCCAATTCCATTGCTCCAGTTGACCAAACTTATAACACTAGTATTCCTTTTATTCTATGAGTACAAGAAACCACCCATTTACCTATTTCAACTACCCAATAAAGTGATCAGAAATTGGCAATTTGGCCAATTTCACACAAAATTAAAAAATTGCCAGTTTAACCCTTTAACTGTCGCAAGCCCCTTTCTGAAACTGTCATTCTATGTTGCAAAATTTTTGGAAAAAAAAAAATTACTTTTTCTTATGAAATGATAGAGAATCTTTTCCCAATGGTAATGACACCAAAAGTATGAAATTTGGTCGAAAACTCACGGAATTATACTCCCGTGAAGTTAGCGGTCCCGGCAACATATACGCATCGGCGATTTCACTGACTTTGAGCTCTGCTTTTGGCCAATTCCGTTGTTCCAGTTGACCAAACTCATAGCTACTTCTTTAGAACTCCATTTTTTCTATCAGTTGACTACAAGAAACTACCCATTTACCGATCTGAACTACCCAATAAAGTGGTCAGAAATTGGCAATATGGCCAATTTCACGCAAATTAAAAAAGATGCCAATTTCAAAATAGGGTCCAGAATAAATAATGTAGACATTCTTGGCACTAAAATAACATATCCTCTGTTCATTAGTTATGTCTCTAGGCCCCTTTTATATTACCATGCTTTCTATTTTGATTTTTTATTCATACAAAAAATACAAAATTTACCTTATGCAGACTATTGCATTATTGTAAAAATGGTATAAATAATATCAGTGAACTAGTGAAAGAATATTAAACTCCCCAGTTGACGTGTATTGGATGTGTGGTGTGATTTGCTTACTCCTGAACATTGGTAAAAATCAAACATTTCTGCTACTTTGAGCCCAATTTCAAGGTCGTTTTCATTGTGAAACTAATCAAAATTATCTCTATTTCTGTAATATGTTTTCCATTTTATCATGCAAGACCAAGAAAACAAGAATACAACGATAAATACTATATGAAAATACACCTCAAAGTCAGCATTTTAATCCAAAAAAACGGTCAGTTTTTTTTTCTTATTATGCACTGCATGCACACTGACCACACAGACCCATTCTCTCACATGTGGGCCTACCAGCTTTCTCCTGCTTGATTTGAAGCCGCCAGAACTTATGTGTATAAATACGTCCGAAACAGTGGTGCGTAAGATGTATATATACGACCAAAACAGTCAAAGGGTTAAAAATAGGGTCCAGAATAAACAATGTAGACATTCCTGGCACTAAAAAACCATTTCCTTTGTTAATGAGTTACATCTCCCAGGCCTCTTATATTATGCTTGCTTTCCATTTGAATTTTTATTCATACAAAAAATAGAAGATTTACTGTTATGAAGACCACTACATTATTGTAATAATTTACAAATAATGTCAGTGCATTCCTAAATGCATATTAGATTGGCCACCTGGACACGTACTGAATGAGTGACATCATTTGTGTCCTCTGGAATATCAGCAAAAATTGAACATTTCTGCTACTTTGAGGTCAATTTCAAGCTACTTTCATCTCTATTTCTATAATACATCTTCCATTCTATCAATGAGACCAAGAAACTGAGAACACAATCATAAAACTCATATGAAAATACACCACAAAGTTGCTGTTTTAAACCAATAATGCAGTCACAGTTTTTTCCCCATTATGCACTGCTTGCTGCAGGATTTTTTCTATAGGATGCATACTTACTGCACAGACCCATTCTCTCATCTCTAGGCCCAAATTTACCACTCACAGCTTATCCGAGTGAGCTGAGCTCATGGCCGAGAAGTGTGGGACCAACCCCGAAAGGGTTAAACAGAACCTTACAAGAGCTGGGATTCAAAAAATCTTACTTGATCTACCTCTTCTCTATTGTTGTGACAGAAGAATGTGAATTTTAACAGTGCCTTTAACATTTCTAATTTGTATTTTATAGTATATGAAATCCAAAAATTTCCCCCTTCAGGAAAGGCAAATATCAAACTGCAACATTCCAATTTGTCTCCATCCATTCCTATACAGTGGTACGGCAAAACAACCTCTGTAGTGGGAATAAGGATCCATTGGCAGCTCATCATCGGTGTAACTGTCAGAGAGAGCATCACATGTGTCTGCTGGGAATATGTAAGGAAAAGGTTAGGTACAGTTTTCACAGGAACTTGCGCTACACAGCTTAAACTTTCAATTACTTTATAACAAACACATACAGCATTTTATAATGACAAATATTACTATAAATGATCTCATTCTTAATTCACAACATACCCTTAAAACAGTATTTATTTTAATTTGCTTAAATTAAGTGCAAAAACACTGTGAGGAGAGTAAAAATATAGAAATTGTGGCATTCAAAAAACATCTATTAAAGTACAGGTTTATTTATTGCTTGTAATCAGCATTAACGTTTTTTGTTTTGCATCACAAGTGCCTGAGAAAGCTTCATTAAGTACCTGCATCCCACTTGGGCACAGTGGCTAATAACTCAGCACTCTGAGAATGGAAGGAATGTGCTCGCTCCTGGGAACTGTATGGAGATGCAGCACCTCCAAGTTCACTGCCAACTGAATATAAGTATACGTGTGAATGTTGTCAGTTATACACACAAACACATACACATTAAAACAATTTATTTTTATACCTTATGGTTATAAAGTATTTTAGAAAAAACATACATTAATACATGTAGGAACAAAAAGAGGGATTTTCTAAATATTATAGTAACTAAAATTTATAACAATTATCAAAATATAGACACCAAATCCACAAAATATGTACTACCAAAAACAGGTAAATATTAGTACCTAGGTTATTAGAGAGGGGGTGAGTACCATGAGGAAAGTGTCCATTACTGCTGCCATGATCTGTAACAAGCCCAAACAACTGCTTAGCAAAAGTGTAAATATATTAATAAAAATAATAGTGAATACACGTATTATATAGATAATGAGGTGATCAAAAAAAGGCAGTAAAAAAAGGTACAGTAACACCATTCCTTAAATTATATCTCATGATGCATATTTAAATTCATTATATTATTTAAAAAGTAACCCCTGTCTAAATTTATGCTATATGGCAAAAAAACACTAAGGTTAACCAAAACAATGCATTCTGACATTACCCATAACATTTCCTATTAAAAATCAATCAAACTGTATTTATTACAGTTATACACTGCAGTTCAAGGCTTCAAAACCCTACCTATGGCACAACTGATTTGCTTTGAGAGGTTGTCTATTCTTGCAGCCTGGAAAGAGGCCAGGGTTTCCACCTAAGCAATAGGCTGTTGCTGTCTGCAACCAACAGTTCTACATAGCTATCACAACCTGCATGATTTAGTGATACCTGCATGGGCTTGTCCAGTCTCTCTAGAAGACTACCTTTCAGCAATATTTATTATGCATGCCAGTAGACAATTTAGGTCATGGCCTCAAATGTTAACACTATTCTCTATACATAAATTATGACAACCCTAATTTCATTGAGTTTCTTTTTCTACAGAAGCTGTGAGGACAAAATTTTCTAGAGATTAGAGCATAAGTGCTTTGAGGAGTTCCAACATTGGTGTGACTCCTTTTGTATTGAAAGTGACATAACCATGACTGGGTGCAAGGGTTTCTTTTGCCTATTCAACCAGGTTGTCACTGGAGGCCACTAGCTCACGCAGTCATCACAGCGTAGTTGATCGGGAACTTTATGAAGGTAGAGATCCAGTTTCTATTGGAAGATTTCTACACTTATCCTGGAAATATTTCTGATATTTGCTGGAAGCAGGTCTAACAGTTTTGAACTATGGATGATGACACAATGTTCTCTTACTATACCTATGGCTTCTCTCATTTTTCCTGGATTTAATTTACATTTCTTCCCATACCCCTCACTCCAGATAGTTATGGTAATGTGTAGGTTTGGGACATAGTCCTCAAGTATCTTCCATGCATATACTGTATTATCAGGCATATGTTTCATCCCTACTACAGAGAGTACATTCCAATTTCTTTGAGGCCTTCCAGCAATTTACTTGCCTTATTGGCTCTACGAGGCCAGAAAATGATCTCTACATATTTTCTAATTGCGATATCTTGCTTTCCTTGAATGTAGATGTCAACACTAAACAATATTCTAGATGTGAGAGCACAAGTCATGTGAACAGAGTATTACTATATATGGACATGCTTATATTCCTACTAGGCTCTCCTATGGTATCTGATACAGAAAGAAATCTTTTTCTCACTCAAAAGGAAGTTTTATGGTAAATTTAAAAAAAAAGGCAACAAAAATATGATTTGTCTATACAACTAATAGGTATAACTAAGTAATTAGATCAAACCTATTTACCATTTCCAAAAATAAAAACAATTAAAATAAAATTTATCTGTGTAATAATACGAGTTTCTTAATATAAAAATTAATTACCTTAAATGAATTGATAAGAATTGCTTTCCAAGTATCAAAACTGGGAATACATCTGTTAAATCTAACCAGGCAACACATTTGTCACAACACATTTTTAGTTACAAACTTTATGTTATATAGTTATGTACTACATTTTTTTTTTTTTATTATCACACCGGCCGACTCCCACCAAGGCAGGGTGGCCCGAAAAAGAAAAACTTTCACCATCATTCACTCCATCACTGTCTTGCCAGAAGGGTGCTTTACACTACAGTTTTTAAACTGCAACATTAACACCCCTCCTTCAGAGTGCAGGCACTGTACTTCCCATCTCCGGACTCAAGTCCGGCCTGCCGGTTTCCCTGAATCCCTTCATAAATGTTATTTTGCTCACACTCCAACAGCCGTCAAGTATTAAAAACCATTTTCCATTCACTCCTATCAAACACGCTCACGCATGCTGCTGGAAGTCCAAGCCCCCTCGCACACAAAACCTCCTTTACCCCCTCCCTCCAACCCTTCCTAGGCCGACCCCTACCCCCCCTTTCCCTTCCACTACAGATGATACACTCTTGAAGTCATTCTTTTTTCGCTCCATTCTCTCTACATGTCCGAACCACCTCAACAACCCTTTCCCTTTCAGCCCTCTGGACAACAGTTTTGGTAATCCCGCACCTCCTCCTAACTTCAAACTACAAATTTCTCTGCATTATATTCACACCACACATTGCCCTCAGACATGACATCTCCACTGCCTCCAGCCTTCTCCTCGCTGCAACATTCATAAACCACGCTTCACACCCATATAAGAGCGTTGGTAAAACTATACTCTCATACATTCCCCTCTTTGCCCCAAGGACAAAGTTCTTTGTTTCCACAGACCCCTAAGTGAAAACCACTCCTCTTTTCCCCATCAATTCTATGATTCACCTCATCTTTCATAGACCCATCCGCTGACACGTCCACTCCCAAATATCTGAATACGTTCACCTCCTCCATACTCTCTCCCTCCAATCTGATATTCAAAACTTTCATCACCTAATCTTTTTGTTATCCTCATAACCTTACTCTTTCCCGTATTCACCTTTAATTTTCTTCTTTTGCACACCCTACAAATTCATCCACCAATCTCTGCAACTTCTCTTCAGGGAAACTCCCAAGAGCACAGTGTCATCAGCAAAGAGCAGCTGTGACAACTCCCACTTTGTGTGTGATTCTTTATCTTTTAACTCCACGCCTCTTGCCAAAACCCTCGCATTTACTTCTCTTACAACCCCATCTATAAATTTTATTAAACAACCACGGTGACATCACACATCCTTTTCTAAGGCCCACTTTTAATGGGAAAAAATTTCCCTCTTTCCTACATACTCTAACTTGAGCCTCACTATCCTCGTAAAAATCTTCACTGCTTTCAGTAACTTACCTCCTACACCATACACTTGCAACATCTGCCACATTGCCCCCCTATCCACCCTGTCATACGCCTTTTCCAAATCCATAAATGCCACAAAGACCTCTTTAGCCTTATCTAAATACTGTTCACTTATATGTTTCACTGTAAACACCTGGTCCACACACCCCCTACCTTTCCTAAAGCCTCCTTGTTCATCTGCTATCCTATTCTCCGTCTTACTCTTAATTCTTTCAATTATAACTCTACCATACACTTTACCAGGTACACTCAACAGACTTATCCCCCTATAATTTTTGCACTCTCTTTTATCCCCTTTGCCTTTATACAAAGGAACTATGCATGCTCTCTGCCAATCCCTAGGTACCTTACCCTCTTCCATACATTTATTAAATAATTGCACCAACCACTCCAAAACTATATCCCCACCTGCTTTTAACATTTCTATCTTTATCCCATCAATCCCGGCTGCCTTACCCCCTTTCATTTTACCTACTGCCTCACGAACTTCCCCCACACTCACAACTGGCTCTTCCTCACTCCTACAAGATGTTATTCCTCCTTGCCCTATACACGAAATCACAGCTTCCCTATCTTCATCAACATTTAACAATTCCTCAAAATATTCCTTCCATCTTCCCAATACCTCTAACTCTCCATTTAATAACTCTCCTCTCCTATTTTTAACTGACAAATCCATTTGTTCTCTAGGCTTTCTTAACTTGTTAATCTCACTCCAAAACTTTTTCTTATTTTCAACAAAATTTGTTGATAACATCTCACCCACTCTCTCATTTGCTCTCTTTTTACATTGCTTCACCACTCTCTTAACTTCTCTCTTTTTCTCCATATACTCTTCCCTCCTTGCATCACTTCTACTTTGTAAAAACTTCTCATATGCTAACTTTTTCTCCCTTACTACTCTCTTTACATCATCATTCCACCAATCGCTCCTCTTCCCTCCTGCACCCACTTTCCTGTAACCACAAACTTCTGCTGAACACTCTAACACTACATTTTTAAACCTACCCCATACCTCTTCGACCCCATTGCCTATGCTCTCATTAGCCCATCTATCCTCCAATGTACTACATATGATTCAGAATGCAGATGATTTAGTTTGAAACAAAATAGGCATTAAAATCTACGTATAATAGAATATCATGCCATTATGTTTGTTACATAAAAATGGAATAAACTACTATATAATACATAAACAAAATTATCATGCAATTACTTGGTGAAGTACAAAAGCTAAGCATATACTATTCAATTAAAGGTGTTCTAAGCTATTTTTAATTCACCTATTAAATCAAAAGTTTCTAGATTCACTCAAGAATAAATACTGTAATGCACTGGGGCTTAAATCTAAAAGAAGGGCATTCAGTTCTATCCCAGTCGTAAATAAATCAAGTGTGTTTTACCTTTAGTTCTCAAATGCATCTCACCTTGCAAGTCTCCATAGTAATAAGGTGCTTGTGAAAAAATTATGAAGAGTTTAGAAGTATAATGAATTTAACATAAAAATTTTCCACATTAACATAGGTAAATCAATAAATAGATTTTAAAATCTGAAGTTTTTTTATGATACCAATGAACAGACATGTATTGTAGGCCCTCACGAAAAGTGAGGATTGAATTTCTGATATTGACACAATGTGGGTGTGAAGCATAGGTTGTAAATGTTGTAGCAAGGAGGAGGCTGGAGGCAGTGGAAATGTCATGTCTAAGGGTAATGTGTGGTGTAAATATTATGCAGAAAATTCGTAGCGTGGAAATTAGGAGGAGGTGTGGAGTTACTAAAAGTATTATTCAGAGGATTAAAGAGGGGTTATTGAGGTGTTTTGATCATTTAGAGAGGATGGAGCAAATTAGGATGACTTGGAGGGTGTATAAATCTTGTGTGCAAGGTGCCTGGACATGCAGCAGGCAGGTGTCAGAGTGTTAGATAGGAGTGAATGGAGACAAATGGTTTTAGGGTCCTGAGACAAATGGTTTTAGGGTCCTGACGAGCTGTTGTAGTGTGTGAGCAGGGTTATATTTTGTGAAGGGATTCAGGGAAATTAGTTATCCAGATTTGAGTCCTGGAGATGGGAAGTACAATGCCTGCACTTTAAAGGAGGGGTTCGGGATACTAGCAGTTTGGAGGGATATGTTGTGAATCTTTATACGTACATGTACATGTATATGCTTCTAAACTGTTGTGTTCTGAGCACCTCTGCAAAAACAGTGATTATGTGTGAGTGAGGTGAAAGTGTTGAATGATGATGAAAGTATTTTCTTTTTGGGGATTTTCTTTCTTTTTTGGTCACCCTGCCTCGGTGGGAGATGGCCGACTTGTTGAAAAATATATATATATATATATACACACACATGTACATGTCGAAGAAGAAAGGGAGATGGTAATTTCATGCTTTGGCCAGGGAAGTATACAATCTTTTAGGAGTGAAGAAGAGCAGGATGTGAGTGTGGGGAAGGTGCGTGAGGCATTACGTAGAATGAAAGGGGGTAAAGCAGCTGGAATTGACGGGATTATGTCAGAAATGTTAAAACCAGGAGGGATATATTGTTAGAGTGGTTGGTATTTTTGTTTAATAAATGTATGAAAAAGGGGAAGGTACCTAGGGATTGGCAGAGAGCATACATAGTTCCTTTACATAAAGGTAAGGGGGACAGATTGTAAAAATTATAGGGGTATAAGTTTACTGAGTATACCAGGAAAAGTGTATGGTAGGGTTATTATTGAGAGAATTAGGGGCAAGACAGAGAGTAGGATTTTGGATGATCACGGAGGCTTTAGAGTGGGTAGGGGATGTATAGATCAAGTGTTTACATTGAAGCATATATGTGAACAGTATTTACATAAAGGTAGGGAAGTTTTCATTGCATTTATTTATTTAGAAAATGCATATGATAAGAGTGGATAGGGAAGCAATGTGGCAGATGTTACAAGTAGTATATGGAATAGGTAATAAGTTACTAAATGCTGTAAAGAGTTTTTATTAGGATAGTGAGGCTCAGGTTAGGGTGTGTAGAAGAGAGGGAGATTACTTCCCAGTAAAAGTAGGTCTTAGCCAGGGATGTGTAATGTCACCATGGTTAATATATTTATAAATTGGGTTGTAAAAAAGTAAATGCTAGGGTGTGGGGGAGAGGGGTGAGATTAAATTATGAGGAATCAAATACAAAATGGGAGTTGACACAGTTACTTTTTACTGATGATACTGTACTTATGGGAGATTCTAAAGAAAAGTTGCAAAGGCTAGTGGATGAGTTTGGGAGGCTGTGAAAAGGTAGAAAGTTGAAAGTGAACATAGATAAAAGTAAGGTGATGAGGGTATCAAATGATTTAGATAAAGAAAAATTGGATATCACAGGGAAGGAATATAGAAGAAGTGAATGTTTTCAGATATTTGGGAGTTGACGTGTCAGTGGATGGGTTTATGAAGGATGAGGTTAACCATAGAATTGATGAAGGAAAAAAGGTGAGTGGTGCATTGAGGTATATGTGGAGACAAAAAAAAAAAAAAAAAGTTATATATGGAGGCAAAGAAGGGAATGTATGGAAGTATAGTGGCACCAAATCTCTTAAATGGGTGTGAAGCTTGGGACATGGCAAGTAGATGGTTGGAGGCAGTGGAGATGTCCTGTCCAAGGGCAATATATGGTGTAAATATTATGCAGAAAATTCGGAGTGTGGAAATTAGGAGAAGGTGTGGAGTTAATAAAAGTATTAGTCGGAGGGCTGAAGAGGGGTTGTTGAGTTGGTTTGGTCATTTAGAGAGAATGGATCAAAGTAGAATGACATGGAGAGCACATAAATCTGGAGGGAAAGGAAGGCAGGGTAGGGGTCATCCTTGAAAAGGTTGGAGGGAGGGGGTAAAGGAGGTTTTGTGGGTGAGGGGCTTGGACTTCCAGCAAGCGTGCATGAGCGCGTTAGATAGGAGTGAATGGATACGAATTATTTTCTGGGACCTGACAAGCTGTTGGAGTGTGAGCAGGCTAATACTTAGTGAAGGGATTCAGGAAACCCCGTTATTTTTATATAGCCAGACTTGAGTACTGGAAATGGGAAGTACAATGCCTGCACTTTAAAGGAGGGGTTTGGGATATTGGCAGTTTGGAGGGATATGTTATATATCTTTATATATGCTTCTAAACTGTTGTATCTGGGCACCTCTGCAAAAACAGTGATTATGTGTGAGTGAGGTAAAAATGTTGAATGATGATGAAAGTATTTTCTTTTTGGGGATTTTGTTTTTTTTTGGGTCATCCTGCCTCGGTGGGAGACAGCCGACTTGTAAAAAAAAAAAAAACAGCATTATATTGAAAAAGTGCACACAACAAGAGGTCTTACTTTACATTTTCTTTTTTAACACACCGACTATCTTCCACTGAGATAGGATGACTTGAAAAAGAAGAAACACTTTCACCATCATTCACTCCATCACTGTTTTGCTAGAGGCATGAAGATACTACAGTTCAGATGCCTCTCCAATCTCCAAATATCCTCACCCCTCCTTCAGAGTATGGGCACTATACTTCCCATCTCTGAATCACTTCACAAAATGTTACCTTGCTCACACTCCATCAACTCTAAGTCCCAGAAACCATTTTCCTTCCTCCATCCTTTCCTAGGGCAACACCTACCCCACCTTCTCTTCATTACAGATTTATACACCCTCCAAGACATTCTATTTTGCTCCATCCTCTCTAAATGTCCAAATGTCCAAACCCTCTCAACAACCCCACCTCAGCCCCTCTAGCTAAATACTGTTAGTAAACCAGCATCTCCTCTTAATCTCCAAGCTATGAATTTTCTGCATAATATTTACACCCCACATTGCCCTAAGATACATTTCCACTGCCTCCAGCCTCCTCCTCGCTACAACATTCACAACCCATACTTCAACTCATATAAGTGTGTTGGTACCATTATTATACCCTAATACATTTTCCCTCTTTGCCTCCAGGGATAATGTTCTTTGTCTCCACAGATAACTCAATGCACCACCCACCTTTTTTCCTTCATCAGTTTTATGGTTCACCCAGTCTTTCATAGACCCATTTGCCGACAAGTCCAGTCCCAAATATCTGAACACATTTACTTCCTCCATACTCCCTCCTTCCAATCTGATATCCAGTTTTCAATTACCTAAATCATTTGTGACCCTCATCACCTTGCCCTTTCCTAATGTTCACTTTTAATTTCTTTCTTTTACATACTTTCCCAAATTCATTCACCAACTTTTCCAAGTTTTCTTCAGAATCTCTCAAAAGCTCTGTCATCAACAAAAATGTACTGCGACAACTCCCACTTAGCATTAGTTTCTGCATATTTTAATTCCACACCTCTCCCTAATACCATGGTGACATCATGTATCCCTGTTTAAGGCCTACCTTTAATGGAAAACAGTGTCCCTCTTTCCTACATACTCTAATTGAGCCTAACTATTTTTATAAAACTCTTAACTGCTTCCAGTAACCTAACTCCTATTCCATACACTTGCAAAATCTGCCACATTGCTCCCTTATCCACCCTATCATATAAATTTTCTGAATCCATGAATGCAATGAAAGCTTGCTCTCCTTTAAGTACAGTGGAACCTCAAATTTCGAACGTATCGCTTATCGAACTCTTCGAAAATAGAACCCTTTTTTCGAACCAACTTTGTCCCTATTATCGAACTCGCCCCTATTTTCGAACCGCTGGGTACCAGACCTGTCCGGCAGCCCACTCTGTCCGTGTCCCCACGCAGGCACCGTGAGCCAGTCTGGTTTTGTTGATGCTTGAGTGAACATTAACCTGCGCTCTCATTCAAACATTTTACGATTATTTCATTGTGTTTAGTGCTTGTGGGACTGTGAAATAAGCTACAGTGGGAGCAATGAAACTTGCTAGTGGTACCCCTGTGGTAAAGAAAGTGAGAAACACTATAGATGTGAAGAAGGAAATAATACAGAAGTGGAATGGTGTCCAAGCTGAGCAAGCTGAAACAAGCCATCTTTGCAACAAGTTCAGTGACAGAACCATGTCCCATTTTAGGGAAATCTTAAAGAGGCACCAGAAACAGAGGACTGTGGACAGTTATTTTGTGAGACAGGAGTCCAGTGATTCTCAAGATGGTCCTAGTGGCATTAAAAGACAGAGAGAGGAAGTAACCCCAGAGAGAGCTTTGATACCTGAAGTCCTCATGGAGGGGGATTCTCCTTCCAAACACTAACCCCAACTCCCTCTCTCCTCCTCCCTATCTTCCAGATGCCATCAACAATCTTCAATAAAGGTAAGTAAAATGTTATTTTACATTTATTTAAATTTATTAATACATAATTGAACACTATATTTGTTGTGTGTATGTAAAACTATAATTAATCTCTATATAATGTATTTTTTGTGAATACTTTTGGGTTTCTGGAATGGATTAATTGTATTTCCATTATTTCTTATAGGAAATATTGCTTCGCTTTTCAAACT